AGCAGGACTCACTTCTGATTTCCAAGATTTTTCCATCTGGAGGAAAAAAATGGAAAAAAGGGGCCATGGTTTTGTGAGATGCTGTCCAATTTTGAAGTTGTATCTGGATTCCATCCTTCCAACAAGGGGCTTGCAGTAGTGGAAATGTGTCATTACCTCTTCAACACTGGGAGAGGGCTAATGGACTCTTCCCTGAACATAAAGCCTCAGTCTGACTCATGCTTCCCACCCCCCCTCCGCACTGCTTTTTTAAAAAACAGGGGAGATTCTAATCTTGGAGCTTCTCTGATCTTATTTGTCCTTCAGGTGTATTTGCTCTGACAGTGGTTTCCATTGCCTCAGGGTGGAGTGGGGGGAGTCTTCCTCAATTCCTGCTACCCAGGCCTTGGGACTGAAGGTGGAACCTTCTGCATGCAAAGCAAGAGTTTTGTCATTGGACTGTGAACCAATCTGATGAGGTGGTTCAGTCCATAAGTGAAGGTCACTCCTTGTGTTTCATGTCTTGTTCTCTAACCCAGGTGTCTGCTGTGGAGACTAGCAGATCAAACTAACTCCTCCTTTCTCTCTCTCTGCTGGAGCGTAGTATGGAATCGTTCTGGATGCTGGATCCTCCCACACTGCCATGTTTGTGTATAAATGGCCAGCAGACAAGGAGAACGATACGGGGATTGTCAGTCAGCACAGCATGTGTGATGTGAAAGGTAAGAGAGATTTAGTTGCTTCTTGGCATTAAGAACATAAGAAAAGCCAATGTTGGATCAGGCCAATGGCCCATCTAGTCCAACTCTCTGTCACACAGTGGCCAAAAATACCAGGTGCCATCAGGAGGTCCAGCAGTGGGGCTAGGACACTAGAAGCCCTCCCACTGTTGCCCCCTCTTTGGGTGAAGAAGTACTTCCTTTTATCTGTTCTAACCCGACTGCTCAGCAATTTCATGAGTTCATTTCATCAGAGGGAGCTGAGATGGAAATCTAACAGGGACTGAATGCTACCAGTCCTTTCCCATTTTGCTGAAGCTCTGATAAACTGGAGGGCTGGACCTGCAGGCCATAGCTCATCTTAAAAACACATTTGGTGGCAAACACATTCCGTGTAAGCGGAGGCAACAGCCCTGGATCTCAGATCTCTAACAAGCTGTGGTGGCTGGTGGGTTAAGGAACAAAGGAAATGGTTAAGAGCTGCCAGAAGGGTTGCAAATGGAACGGAAGCCATGAGGGACCTGCGATCTGAGCCAGAGAGCTGCTCTGGTTTAGCAAAGAGCTGATCCCTTTCTCAGCCACGTTTCGTCTGAGGCCCTGCTTTGGGTGCCTCACTGGCAGAAGTGAGAAGGGCCTTTCTTGTGGTGGGTCCCTGTCTTTGGAATTGCCCCCCCCCAATGGCATGCAGCTAGCACCTACTGTGTCGTTTTTGTTTCAGGCGCTAGTTGAAGACCTTTCTGTTTCCTCAGGCCTTTGGGTAGCTCACATGCATGTGGAACTTTGATTTTTATTTTATTTTTTGGAGAGGTGATGTTTTTGTGCCCGTTTTTCAGCTGTTGCTGGCTCTTGTTTTAGTACCAGTATTGTGGATTCCTGTTTCTGACAAGCATTAATTAAGCATTTGCATTCCATATGGCATCTCTGTAGGTGGGCATTTTGGGTTCAGAAGCCTGATAGCTTCATGTTTGGTCTGTTTCTCATGGTACACAAAGAAACACCAATGGAGCATAATTGAGTTATGGGGCTGGTTGGTTCAGTAACATGCTCTAGAAGGGGCAAACTGGCGGCACCTGCGGTGGCAGCATGAGGGTACCTGGCTCAGGGATGTGCCCTGCCACACCTCCCACAAAACAAAGGGGGTTGTCGGTCCCCACCCCATCTTCCTTTGTTCCTTTCCCTTTTCCCATGGCGTCTTAGACAAAGAACTTATCGGGGCAGTGCCAACTTAAAAGAGAATCCTCTGTAGCCTGGAGCTGGCATAGGCTGGGCAGCAGGGCACAAAAGGCCCAGATAATGATTTGAAAAACACAACAGAATAGGAAGAGGGGAGAGGTAGGGGAGTATCAGCCATGCACCCTGGGTTGGCACACTGCCCTTCCTAAGCCAAAGGCTGGCACCGAGATCTGAAAAGGGATTCCCCAGGGCCTGTCTCGGCAGTACTTGGGGGGCAATTTAATTCTGACTCAGTTACAGCCTTTGTGAAGCCGGGGCTTCATTAACAGCAGCTTTGGGCTCCCACTTCCTGGAAAGGCCCGGGGCAGGCTAGAGATGGGAGAAAGCCACACAGCAAGAACTGAACACACAGATGGGTGGGGAACACAGCTGGCAGTGGGGCTTTGGCTTGGTCCTGGCATGCCAGCGATACTTCAGAGGCACGAAGTATGGGGGAGGGGTATGGAGGTTTACTTGCTCATTAGGCTGGCATGCCACCTTCCTCCAGGGAACACCCCATACTGTACTTGGTTCTCTCCTCTACCATTTTGTCCTTGCCAAAGCCCTGATGGCTCGGTTAGGTTGTGAGAGAATGACTGCCCATTTCTCCCTGGTTCTCTTTTGGCAGCCTAACCACTAGGCAATATGTGTCCTCTTGTGTCTGATTGTGGCCCCTTCACACATACAAAACACCACTTAGGTTTGTGCAGTCATCAAGTGAAGAATAAACATATATGGACTGTGTTGGCCAGACAGACTAGAAGGCATTGCTTTTGCGTGAGCTCTGTTTCCCTGGCCACTGCTGCAGAACCAGAGAATCCCAGTTTGTGGCTTGGGTCCGCTAATACATCCACCTTCCTCTTCCCTGTTCAAGAATGAACCTCCCCTTGTCTCCTTGAATCTGCAGGAGGTGGAATCTCCAGCTACGCCACAGACCCTCCAGCTGCTGGGAGGAGCTTGGTAGCCTGTCTTGACCGGGCGATGAAGGATGTCCCAAAGGAGAGGCACGCTGTCACCCCACTCTATCTCGGGGCCACGGCAGGCATGCGGCTGCTGAAGTGAGAACGCACAGACTGACTTGGTACCTTTTGGACATGTGCAAAGGTTCCCCATGGTTAAACATGGTACCTTCTTTTAATATTGAGACCTTGTTCTCGTGAACTAAGAGCAGCACCCTTGGTCGGTCTGTCCTGCCCCCTTCAAGAGGTCCAAAACTGCTCAATTGATTTAAGGATACAAGAAGATCCACCATGGGATCGGACCAAAGATCCATCTAGGCCGGTGTTGTGCTCCCCACAGTGGCCAACCAGATGCTTCCATTAAGCCCATAAGCAGGATGGCCCTCCCCCTTTTGTTCGTTCCAGCACCTGGTATTCAAGGGAATACAATCCCTGGTTCCATTAACCAATATAGAAGAAGAGGCTGGATTTATACCCCGCCCTTCACTACCCGAAGGAGTCTCAGAGCGGCTTACAAACTCCTTTCCCTTCCCCTCCCCACAAGGTCCACCTAATCTAGCATCAGTTTGGTGTAGTGATTAAGTACGCGGACTCTAATCTGGGAGAACAGGGTTTGATTCCCCACTCCTCCACTTGCACCTGGCTGGATGACCTTGGGCAAGACATAGTCTGGCACAGTTGTTCTTGAAAAAGAGCAGTTTCTGTCAGAGCTCTCTCGGCCTACCTCACAGGGTGTCTGTGGTGGGGAGGGGAAGGGAAAGGAGTTTGTAAGCCGCTCTGAGACTCCTTTGGGTAGTGAAGGTAAAGGTAAAGGTTCCCTTTGAAAGCCAGTCGAATCCGACTCTAGGGTTGCGGTGCTCATCTCCGTTTCAAAGCCGAAGAGCCAGCGCTGTCCGAAGACGTTTCCGTGGTCATGTGGCCGGCATGACTAAACACCAAGGCGCACGGAACGCTGTTACCTTCCCACCGAAGTGGTACCTATTTATCTACTTGCAATTTCTTGCTTTCGAACTGCTAGGTTGGCAGGAGCTGGAACTAGAGACGGGAGCTCACTCCGTCATGCGGCACACTCGGGTCTCGAACTACTGACCTTCCACAGCCTGCAGTTCAGCGTCTTAACCACTTGAGCCACCGCAGCTCCACCGGTAGTGGGTAGTGAAGGGCAGGGTATAAATCCTTCTTCTTCTTTCTCCTCCTCCTCCTGTTTTCCACAGTAGCCAATCAGGTACTCCTGGAAAGCCTAAAAGCAAAACAAAAGGGCAACCATCACCCCCCTTGCAGCTGACCCCTGGCTACTGTTGTTCAGAGGGAGAGCTGATCTCTGAATTCAGAGGCTGCATTTAGCCTTCTCAGCCACTAGTCACTGATGGACTTATCCTCCACGGATTTCTGTATTCCCCTTTTAATGACATCTGGCCTAGTGGCCCTCATTGTTCTTCCTCCTCTTCCTCTTCCTCCTCCTGTTTTCCACAGTAGGCAACCAGGTACTCCTGGAAAGCCTAAAATCAAGGCCAAAGGGCAACCATCACCCCCCTTGCTGCTGACCCCTGACTACTGTTGTTCAGAGGGAGAGCCGATCTCTGAATTCAGAGGCTGCATCTAGCCTTCTCGGCTACTAGTCACTGATGGACTTATCATCCACGGATTTCTGTATTCCCCTTTTAATGACACCTGACCTAGTGGCCCTCATTGCACCCTGTGGCAGCAAGTTCTACAAGTTAATCCTCTCTTCCATCAAGCAGTTCTTCCTTTCGTCTGCCTTAATATATTACCCGTCAACTGCACTGGGTGTCCTAGTATTAAGAGACAGGGAGGAAAAGTTCTTTCTGTCCACACCTTTTGTAATTTTGTAAGCTGGCATCATTTCTCCTCTCCCCTCCCTACCCCTTCACGGCGGTAAGGAGGACGTACTTGTGTGTGCATTCATGTTAAATTTCTTTGAGTGCATTCTTGCAATACCTGTTTAAGGTTATGTAACAGGCATCAGCAACCTCTAAACATCTGGTTGCATCTGCCAGTTTGGCATACAGTTCTGCCCCACTCAGTAGGGTGTGAAGCGCCCTTCTTGACTGAGGCTCAGATTTCTGGGGCTGCTCTAGTGCTGGTTGCTATGTTCTTCCTAATGGCTGTATCTGAAAGGAGTGTTTGCACATTTCTGTTTGCCTCAATCCTTTCAGCAGCAAGAGATGACTTTGCATGTGTGTAATGCCCACTGCAGATCACAACACTGCAAATGGGGCTGTTCTGGTGCAGCTCCTGTTCTTTATGAAAAGGGCTTGCACAGGATAATTGTCTGGTGGATTGTGCCCACACCAAGTCAAGTCTATCTTTCTGCCTCTTTACCACCCTACTTTCCAGTAGGGTTCAACTCCTATTTTTCTAGTGCTGAGATATTTGGATAATGTAGGTGAACCTGAAAACAGGCGAGGCCCCAACCTTGATTGTTTGTGTGTAAATGCTGCCACAGCCAACATATGGCGACCCCAGCAAGGTTCTTTCAAGGCAAATGAGGAGCAGAGGTGGTTTGCCATTGCCTTCCTCTGCAGAGCCTTCCTTGGTGGTCACCGTTCCAAGTACCAACCCTGCTTAACTTCTGAGATCTGATGAGATCTAGACCATGCTCATTTTCACTTTCCTACAGCCTCACTGACCCCCAGGCTTCAGACAACGTCCTTGCAGCAGTGGCGTCTGCCCTTAAGGCTTACCCCTTTGACTTCCGAGGAGCGAGAATACTATCCGGAGAGGACGAGGGTGTGTTTGGCTGGGTCACAACTAACTATCTTTTGGAGAACTTCATTAAGGTAAAGTGTTGTTTATGTTGGCTACTTCTGGGGTTGCAAAAAGGCTGAGAGGCTAACTAATATGGGTTCTTTTTGGTGGGAATGAACAGACCTGTCACACTTGGCTATTTATTGTATGTGGTTAGGGGTGATAACAATTTCCACCATGAGCCTAAGAGACATTTCTAAGAAATGTGTTTATGCAAAGGAGCTTGAAAACAAAGTCACAGCTTCTAAACATTCATAAAGGTGAAATTAGGCACCAAAGCCTGTTTTGTGTATGGATTCAGCCTTGTTGCTATTTCAGTCTGCTCAGCTGGGGTCAGTAGGTTCCTCCATCTGTCTGTGGAAGTTTTCCCTGTGTTTGCATCAGGCACTGCAGGTTTTGTCGAATCCAGCGACACGTGCCTGTAAATCTGTGTGGATTACATCTTGGGTGGGCAGGACTGGCTGTTTTTTTTTCCCTACACAGTTCCCAAGGACATATCCTACCCCCATTTCAATAGGACATGGAGGGGTTTTTTGCAATGGTTTTCTACCCCCATTTCAATAGGACATGGAGGGTTTTTTTGCAATGGTTTTATCTCCCTGTTTTTCTGCCCCCCACCCCGGCAATCATGAATTTGATCTGGTGAGCAGCCAGCTGGGTGGGGCATAACCTGCTCCAAAAGAAACCCATCCTCATGCTCTCCTGTAGCCTAGTGCCAAACTTTCCAAGCATCCAGTGGAGATTTCAGAGGGTGTTGGAGAGTGCAAAGGGTAACTTGAATGCCAAGGTGCTGACTCATTGCTGATAAAGCCCCTGGCTTGCAGAGGCCATTCCAGAATCTCTCAGACACTAAAGCCTTAGCCTTGTGCTTTGGGATGGCTCTTTGTCTGAGGTGGGAAGGATGGATGCAAATTGAAGATTAGGGATGGGCATGAACTGGTTCATAAATGAAAGTTCATCACGAGTTTTGGGCAGTTTCGCAAAGCGATGTTTACAAAGTGAAGAACAGCCATGAACTTCCATGAATTTTGATCCAGTTTATGGTGGTTTGTGAAGAGCAGAAAGCAGGGGATTAAATGGCCCTGAGCCATTTAACACCTGCTTTTCGCTCCTCATGAAAAACAGCTGTTTGGTTTAAATGGCTTGGAACCATTTAAACCCCTGCTTTCTGCTTCCCGCCAAAAGTGGCAGGGAGCAGAAAGCAGAACCTAAGAAAAGTGGTGGGGAGCAGAAAGCAGTGGTTTAAACTTTAAATGGCTCATGAATGATCTGAAATGGTTCGGTTTACAAACCAGCGTATCAGTTCATGTTTTGGTTCATGGTTCACTCATGATCCACGAACTGAACCAAACTGTAGAAATGTGGCTTGTGCCGATTCCTCTGCTGAAAATGTACAAAAAAATAAAAATAAAGCAAGAAATGTGGCAGAGACTTAATAGCAGGGTTACCTTCCTCCTTGGTTTCAGTAGCCAGAGGTGGAACGATGCAGCTAGTCTTGAGAGATCTGGGTCCCAATCCTTATCTAGGGCTATTTAACAGTATTTAATGCTGTTACAAAACTGAAATAATTAGGTTAAAACTGTGAGCATTCAGGAAATGCCTTTTATATATACAGAGTAGGATGATTCCAATTTTGCAAACAGCAGTGAGCATAAGAGATAGTGGGGTTTGAACTGGTGTCTTGCAGGTGCATGTTACATGCTATCCATTTGGCCATATTGGCTGTCTTAAACTGCACATTGTGGCCACAGCCCATGGACATGCTGAATAAGGTACTGGGCACATGGCTTTAGCTTTCTTTTTAAGCCATCACTTAGAAAGACTTGAGGGAGACACTGTAATTTAATACCTTCTTAAGAAACCTTTTCCTTAAGAGAAACCCTTACCACGCAAATAAAAAAATATGTTAGCAGGGTAGTTGGGCAATCCCTTTTTCTAAATCACAGCTGCCGAGATAACATAAGAACCCAAGAAAAGCCTTGCTGGATCAGGCCAGTGGTCCATCTAGCCCAGCATCCTATTTCATACAGTGAACAGTGGGTTGCCCCAGAGAAAAACAAGCAGGGCATAGAGGCTGAGGCCTTCCCTGATGTTACTTTCTAGCACTGGGTTAAAGAAGCATGCTGCATCCAACTATGGAGATGCTCTTTAGTCATCATGGCTAGAAGCCATTGATGGACATCCCCCATCCATGAATCTGTCCCATCCCCCTTTAAAGCCACCTGTGCTTACAACTATTTAATTACTTGTTGAGAACCTGAGTACTTCCTTTAAAGATAAACTGAGTCCAGAGCTGCCAGTTCAAATCTGTACTTTTCAGATCTAAACAAACATGAAACAGGAGTTCTGAACTGGGTCTCTTGACTCTTTAAGACGGTTTTAAAATAGCAGCAAAGAGCTTTCATTCTCATTTTAGTATCTTCTAAGTGAGGAAGGGATATTTTAACAATTTTCCTGATCTACCAGTAAGTCTCTTCCTGTTATGAGCCTACACTGGGGGAAAAACAAGAATGGCTATCCCCCGCCTTCATAATACTGCTTCTTTGATCAGATGGACAGCCCCCCTGTGGTGGCTTTACTTCCCCCCCCCAGTTCAGTATCCCCAATCACAGATATGCTATTTCTGCTTTTGCCATAATAAAGTGCAGTTCTTGCTGACTGTTACTGACCTGTGCATCTGTACCCCATTTCCTGCCTTCCCTCAGTATGGCTGGATTGGGCAGTGGGTCCATCCGAAGAAAAAAACATTGGGAGCCATGGACCTTGGGGGAGCCTCCACCCAAATCACCTTTGAAACGCAGGAGAAGATTGAGGCCCCCCTCAATGCAATGACCCTGCAGCTGTATGGGCAGACGTACAAAGTCTACACGCACAGTTTTCTCTGCTATGGCAGGGATCAGGTCCTCAAGAGACTTCTGTCCAAGGTGCTGAAGGTAAGGAGAGATGGCTACCAGCCAGAAATTAAATTGGCATTTATCGGGGTGGGTGGGAAGATATGAAATTTAAGCTGTTCTAAAGAGGGTCAGACCATTTGTCCGTCTACCCTACCACCTCCTTTGACTGACAGTGGCTGTTCAGTGTCTCAGATAGAGAAAGGTCTTTCCCGTCATCCGTGATCCTTTTAACAGGAGTATGCCGGCAATTGACTCTATATGCCAAGAATGTGCTCTGTGGTTCTTCTCCAACTACATATATCCATTTTGTTTTTATGAATTGCATATATGAAGCTTCCTTAGTCAGATCACTAATATCTCTCTAGGGCAATATATTCTACTCCAGGGGTGCTGAACTCCATTTGTTACAAGGGTTGGATCTGACATAAATGTCACTTTGTCGGGCCAGGCCGTGTGTGCTGTAAAATGTAATTCTGTAACAAAAGGGATCACAGTGAACAAGAAGTCCAAAAGTACAAAAAAACACCTTGTGTAACAATATAGCAAATAATATAATAATAACAATGACACTCTGTATTCAATATATTCAATAAATTCAGTAAATCAATAGCCACGGCACAATGAGCACATATATATGAGCACAACGAGCACAATATATATGTGCTCATTGTGCCGTGGCTATTGATTTACTGAATTTATTCTATAATATATTGAATACAAAGAGTGTCATTGTTCTTATTATATCATTATTATATAGTATATTATATATTATATACACCAACTGGTGTTAATTCTCACTAGCAAAGTCTTTTAAATTTTTCTTCTGTTGTCAGAATGAAGCAGTTCATTTTGCCAAGCTGAAAAGAAATGAGGCAGCTGTTTAGCCTGCTTGGAGGCTTCTCTCCCGCTTTGTATAGTGTTTGTAGGCTTTGTTTCCAGTCTGTTTGCAGTCCTGGGGAACGTTCAACTGAAACCACTTACCTATAGTCCAGAGGAGTGCATTGACTGCTTCATTCTGCCCAATCCCCCTTTTAAAAATGTGTTAGCCGGGTACTTGAATACTAAGAGTGTATATTATTTACTATATTGTTACACATGGTGTTTTTTGTACCATAAAATGTAATGCCAGGTACCAGAGGTATACATTTTATAAAGGGCACAGGTAAACCCAACTAATAATATTATTTTTTTTATTCAAAATACAAATAAAAGCAATTGATTCCTAGCAGTGAAAGCAATCGATTTACTGGGGAACCCACAAAAGGCCCAATAAGTGTGTTTAATCATATGCAAAACTGGTTTATTTCCCCAAGGGATACCCTAGCCATTTCCTTTCCATTTCTTGACAACTTTGACCACACACACACCTCACCAGGTTTGCCTGCTTGCCCACTCAACTCCCCCCCCCCAAGCAACTTCCTGCCTTTCCTCCCTTTCCCCAGTTGCTTGCGGGTCAGGTAAGAGTGCTGGACGGGCTGGTTCCTGCCCACGGACCATATGTTTGACACCCCTGGTCTATATTCTGACTGGCAGCAGTAGTTTAAGTTCCCAAGTTTTCCCAACACTTAATATCCTTTTAGAAGGCGATGCCAGAGATTGAACCTGGGACCTTCTGCATGCAAAGCAGCAGCCGCGTCTCTGAGCCAAGGCCTTCCTTTTAGTGAAGTGTATTGCAGACATTGTTGTGGAAGACAGATTTCCCCTTCTCTGTCATATGCCAGGAGGGAGCGCATCTCCTAAAGACGATGCTTGCCATCTGTCATTTTTTAAATAATTGGCTGTTTTAAAAATAACGTTTTTTAAAAATCTTTTCCTTGATCGATCAGGTACGTCTTTTAATCCATCAAAATGTTTGTTTTTAACCAGTTACCTATTGCAACCCTAATTATTATTTCCACTCGCACAAGGCTGAAGGGTATACCCTGAAAGTCGAGAACCCTTGCTGGCCCAGAGATTACAAGAAGAATTTCACGATAGAGACCGTCTATGACTCCCCGTGCACTTCTGCCGAAAGGCCCATCAACTACTTCCCCACGGCCAATGTGAACATGAGGGGCTCTGGAGACCCAGCCCTGTGCCGCCAGCGCGTGAAGAGTCTCTTCCAGTTCACAGGCTGTACCTACACACGCTGCTCCTTTGACGGCATCTTCCAGCCCAGCGTCATGGGAAACTTCATTGTGAGTAGCTCAGAAGACCTGGACCTGCGACTTAATGCTGGATGGAGGCCACAGGGCTTTTCTTGACCCAAGGCTCAGACCCTGGACTGTTTTTATTTACCCCAATTTTCGCCCTCAGTGGGGACCCAAAGGGGCTTGCAGTATCATGTCATTCTCCCCGCCTTCCCAGTTCATCCGCAAAATAACAACCACCCTGTGAGGTATGTGAGGCTGGCAGAGGGTGACTGGCCTTCTTCTCACACAGAGGCCGAGGTACTGACAAGGAGGATTTTGTGGAGGGGAAAGGTCTGTTCTCAAGTGCTGGGATTAAGAAAGCAACTGCCCCCCCTTGTGGAGAGTTTTCCTGACAGAGGTCCACTTTCAGAACACACTGGCCAGCTAGTCTGCTGTGCTCTGCAGGCTTTGCAGTGGCCTGTTCTGCTGCTGGCATCTGCCTGGATGATGCTGGTCGTGAATCCTGTGGCCCACTGGTGATCCCCTGTACAATTTCAGGAGGTCTCTGAGACACCGACTGAAGCACTGGAGGAAACGCTGAATGCGTCCCCTGGATTGCAGCGGCACAAAACCAGCAGTCACGAGACTCCTGATGGACAGGCAGGACAGAACGAGGGGCAAGGAGAGGACTCTTGACTGGCTTGGTGGGACAGCCCCGGCTTCCTTTCCTCAGCTCTTGAGTGCTGCTGACTAATATTTGTTAGACTTATGAACCACTTTTTGACCATCTAGTCCTCCAAAGCAGTTTACAGCCTCTTAAAATGCAGTTTTGACTTCCTTCTTACTCCTTCTGTAGGCCTCCCTGTAGGCAGCCTCACCCTTCCACCCAGCATGGACGCTGCCAGTCATAAGAACGTAAGTCCCTGCTGGATCAGACCAAAGTCTCATCCAGAGCTGCATCATGTCTTCCTCACAGTGGCCACCCCAGCTCCCTCTAGGATGCCACAAGCAAGGTCGAAGGCCCCAGCTGGGCAGTGTTGAGTGAACATCAGCCACCGGAAAATCTGACCCCAGACCAAGGCTTTGGTGTAGTTGGCTTGGCAGCTCGGCCTTCACCCTCTTCTTCGTATTTTTCCTATTCAACAGGCCTTCTCTGCCTTTTTCTACACTGTGGATTTCATCCAGTCCGCAATGAAGAGACGCGTCACCACCCCAGGTGAACTTGAAGAAGCTGTGGTTGAAATCTGTAACTCGTCTTGGTCTGAGGTGGGTCTCTTGTCACATGGTACAGCTGGGGTGGAAATTAAATGCTGCAGGAGTTGAAAATGGCAGGGAGGGGTTTTTTTATAAGTAGAAATGGAGACTTCAAAACTGGGAGGCTAATTCAGTGTCTTTGCCCACCCCCGTTTCTCTCCAATGGGAGTTAGATCACTGGCCCTGAGGTGGAGTTCTGGCATGGTGTAGTGATTACAGCATCAGATGAGGACCTGGGAGACCCCCGTTCTGCTATAAAAGCTCCCTGGGTGGCCTTGGGCCAGTCATACACTCTCGGCCGAACCTGCTTCAGAGTGTGGTGGGTGTGAGGATAAAGTGGAGGAGGGAAGGAAGATGCTGTAAGTCCCTTTGGGTCCCCCTTGGGGGGAAAGCAGGGTATAAATAAACAAATGAAATCCTGCCTCTTACCCATGATGCCCCGGAGGAAGTGGGATCTTTGATGCATCTGCCCATTTCTTCCAAGCAGTCTTTCCAGACCCCCCTGAGATTGATAACAGTGTCTTCTGTTTCCTCTTGTCATTTCTTTCTCCTTGTTGTTTGCCACTTTCCACAATTCCAGCTGCTTCAGAAAGCCCCCGACCAGGAGAAGAGATTGCCTGACTACTGCGCGACGGCCGTCTTTATCCAGATTCTGCTCACGGAAGGCTACCGGTTTGATGAGCGCACATTCCCCGACATTGCCTTCCAGAAGAAGGTAGGTACTTGGCAGAGGGGAACCTGTGTCTTGCTGCTGCTGTTTTTGAAGAGGTGGCCTGAGGCACAATCGAGGGAACAGGAAAGGAGGGGCTGGGGTAGCTTCAGAAAGGCTACGCAGGAGGAGGGCAGCGCATGTTAAGGATAGACCCAAGAGGAGATTGACAGGTAGATATGGGAGGGCAATGGAGACAGAAGATGGGAGGAAGCGTAAGAATCAATAAGTGTTGGAGTCTGGGAGCTGGATGACAGTCAAGGGTGGGAACTTTGCCTAAAAGACCTTTCTATATTCTGTGTGTACATTATTCTAATTAAGCACCCGATTTACTCCTCACCCCTGGAAACCTGCTTTTTAGCATAAACATTATAAGCATATTTTCCAAAGGGGGGGAAGTTGAGATTCACAGCTGAACTCAGCACCCAACCTCACATTCTAAGCTTTGCTTGCCTGGAATTCTGGCTTGTACGCAGCCCTGGCTAGAGGCTTGACTGAGAGAAATTGGGCGATTTTGCATTGGCTTTTCCCTCCGTTGCTATACCAAACCCACGCTGGAACAGAAATTCCCCTCTGCATTGCATGCTGCTGTCACTTTCTTTGATCATCGGGTTTTATGGGACCCTCTAGACTGCATGCTGCTTTCAGTTTCTTTGATCATCGGGTTTTATGGTATCTTCTGCATAGATTTATGGCCATTCGGGGGTGACTTTGCAGTCCGTATGGCGTAGCCCCAGGGTATTTGAATGTGGTTTTGAGCTGCACCTTTTCTGTTCCAAGGTGGGTTTGGTAAAACAACGGAGGGAGAAGCCAATGCAGAATCAGCCACTGAGAGGGATCTAATTGCTGACCAAGGTACTGGTATGAGTGCTTTCCACAGGCAGGCAACATACTGGCTGGCTGCATCTCTACTTTTGTGCCTAAGGTAGTAGCTAAGAAAGAGGGGAAGGATGAACCTCAATGTCTGCAGCTCCCATGAACTGTTTGTCTTGTTTGGATAGGCTGGAGACACATCTATCGGCTGGGCCCTGGGCTACATGCTCAACCTTACCAACATGATCCCAGCGGAAGAGACCAGCTACTGGAAGGGGACGGCATACCGCTCCTGGGTGGGCCTCATCCTCCTTTTTGTCGCCATCATCCTGGTCACGTTGGTGGCCATGTTCTGCCTGCTGCGACCCTCCAAGGGGCGTGGAACAATGTAGGACCAGCTACTGAATAGATGGGAATCCAGGCTGGTGGGGCAGCACAAGGATGGAGGGAGGTTCCACCCCTGATATCCTGCCGTCTCCAGTCAAGCAGACCACGTTGTCCGTTTCAGGAGCTCAGCCTCTCGCTGGGGCTGGTTGGCATCAATTCCAAAGTGAAGATCATGAGGAAGGGGTGGCAGAAAAAACAGGCACTGCCTAAAAGAACAGGTCTCCATGGGGCTTGAAGATGTTCTCTTTCAGATCCTGGAGCACAACATCTGGAGAAGTTGCACCTTCCACCTTCTGCCTTTATGCAGTGCTGTGGAGATCACAACTTCAGAAGCAAGGATGTTCCTTTAAAAAAAAAAAGAACTCCACAGGAAGGGCTTTTTCAGACCATCACCCCCTCTGGTCTGCTTGTATCTGTTACTTATTTTGGGACTCAGGGATATAGAGTTGGATTGATATTCTCCATGGACCTGTCACAAACATTTTTTCTCTCTCTGCAAGGCTTTAGTCTCCATGAAGGAGTTGTGTGTGTGTTTGTGTGTGGGGAATATTGCTGTTGTTCTCTCGATTGTGAGCACTGGAAATGGGGGCAACAAAATCCACAGGGTATGGCTGTGTGGCAGCTGCTGACAGCCTTCGTCTAAACAACAGAGGTGCCTTTTTAATGTTTTTGGTTTATGAAGAAAGCATCATCGTGACCACTATCGGGGCTGAGCTGCAGCCGTTTTGGATTTGAGGCAGCAAAGGGGGAAGTGACTGCCGTCTCTTAGGGTGCCCAACCCAGATACCACTGCCCCATGGAAATGACTTCCTTTATTTTGTTGTTCTTTAGAAAAAACCAAAAAAACCTTGTCTTTGTGGATCTTACAAGCCTGTCCTCTCAACTTAGGCTCTCAACTTAGTCCTCTCAACTTAGCTGAAGGAGAGACAAATTGAGAATGGGCTTTATTGCCCTTCCTCCTTAGATCTGTCCCATTTGTACTCTGATGTGAGCATGCCTGTCACCTGCTGGACCCAGAGACCTGGGGATGTGGGATCTGCCAGCTAGGGCAAAGGACAGGGTTGGATGTCCATCCCTGGCAGCCTGGGAAGGTAGTCCATGACCTTGGTAACTCCTTCATCCTCCTTTGATTCTTGTTCTGCCTGTGGAGGCAGAGATCTCCAGAATTTTCCCTCTCTCATGGATTGCCTCTGGCTACCTGGCGACTAGCCACCATCTTTTGCCTTTTATTCCAGGGTTCAGGCAGTTCACAGCCTCCCTCTGCCCAGTCCTGACTGGGGCTGTTTCCTCCTCTTCAACTGGAGTGGCTGTTCCTGCTGGGAGAACAGCATGTCTTTGTTGCTGCTCTCTACAGGAAACTGTTTAAGATCTTGTTTTGCCTCCTGAGTTTTTTACACTTGACCCTTTGCATGGAGTCCCCCCCCCTTCCACACTGGGGGGGGGGAGTGGAGGACCAGAAGTTACATTATGTTGGCTGGTGTTTCTGTGGTAACAATGCCATAGCAACGGGTGCTGCTGTGGGTTGCCCTGGACACCAGCATCTTTGCAGTGGTTGCCCTCCATCCCTCTGGGTTGGTCCCTTCTGGAATCCCTCCCAACATCTGCTGAGCTACAGCAGTTGACACCCCTTTCTAGGGCATGGATCCCATTGAACTTGGAGGGCCTTGCTTCTGAGTAAGCACGCAGGCTTTTCAGCATCAGGGTGTCGGTTTCCATCCTGCTGGTCTGCGTCTGCCTTTTTGGCAAGCAAGCAATGGCATTGTGCCATCTCCTTGGGAGATTTTTTTCAGAGCTAGATTTTTATGGGAGAATCCGGTTTCTTTGCTGTAGAAAGAATACAAAAGCCCTTTCTGTTGTGTTTCCTGTACTTTTTTGGGGGGGTAGTTTTCCTTAAGACGGCCAACTGATTGTACGTGCCAAAAAAGAGTGGAAATATTCCTTTTGATCCAGTTTTGGATCTTAATCTGTCTCCCATGTTACTGAATGTCCTTATCCATGTACAGTTCAGGAAGAAGGCAATAGCTGCCAAACAATGGTGGGTTGCGTAAGAGTGAAGCCATGCACCTGGTAGGAGGTGGATCACCTCGTTGCCACATTGCCAGCTTGGACCTTTACAGTGTCACACCAACATCCCATTCAAATGTTGTTCTTCAAATTAAATGCCAGTTCAGAGGTGCTCCGCTTTGAAAATGATAGCACAGGGACAGACTCTAAATCCTCCACCAGAGAAATAAACTGTCATCCTGTCTCTCCAGCTGTACTTGGAGGAGGGGATGGGGGGAGTCCCCAGACACTGAATTATCTTTACCCTCATCAGACTACAATTTAATCATTCTGTGGGGGAAGCCATGATGCAGTGGAATGAAACTGTTGTCAGGATAGATATGCCCGCTCATATTCTAGATGGCACCAATGGAAAATGTATTTAAATATGCAAATGAGGGCAGGAGAGAAATCTCTTAAGCATTCTGTGCAGGATTGATAGGTACAGAAGACAGGAGATTTTTTAAGGCAGCAAGACTGAATGCAAGGTGCAAAAGAGAGGGGCATGACATTCCAAGCTTGGTGCAACCCCACCCCCACCCCACACTAGCTTTTGTTCCAGTTTTTGCATAAGGTCTTCCCCTGCAAAATCTCTGTCCTCACAGTTTGCAGTAGCTTATTCTTCTGCTAGCATTTTGGGTTTTTGTTTCAATGCTAACTAACCTCCACTGTGCTCAGAGATGTTATATGACTGTACCAAAAGGAAGACATGGTGTGCAAACTATTGCCTGTAAGAAAAAAAAGAAAAAGACAAGTTGCTTAAAAAATAATAATAATAAAAATCTCACAGATTATCAACATTCTGCATGATTTTCCCCCCTGAAGGGTTATTTGATTGGTTGTGTTGTGATGACTTCACTGCAAGGCCTGGTGGGGCTATAAATGGGGCAGCCTCGCAAGATGCTGGCATTTGCTGACAACTCCCGATGGATTACTGATAAATTTTGTATTTTGTAAAACTTCCTTTACAGTAAGTAAAATAAAATTGATTGTTATTGCAAAATGTTATTTATGCAAACATTATGCACCTGCAGGCTGCAAGCAGGGGTGTGCAAAAAAATAAATAAATTCTGCCTGATACGGAATTGGGCAGAATCAATTTCTGCAGGCATAAAGACTCCTGCATGTCAATTTCGGCAGTACTAGCGGGGCCAGCCGAATGTCAGTTTCAGCCCCATTATATCCTATGGGCCATTGAAGTAAATGGCAAAAATGTAGGGTATATTCTGGGGGCTGGAGGGGAGGGGGTTTGAGGGAGAGACTCCAAACTCGCAGGGTAGCTGCTGGAGCCTCTCCCCAAGATACCAACCAAGTTTGAAGAACATTGAACCAGGGGGTCCAATTCTACGGGCCCTCAAATAGGTTGCCCCTATCCTCTCCATTGTTCTCTATGGTGGGAATAAAAGTTACTTTTTCCCCACCATAGAGAACAATGGAGGGGATAGGAGTCACCTGTTTGGGGGCCCGTAGAATTGGACCCCCTGGTCCAATGTTCTTCAAACTTGATTGGTATCTTGGGGAGAGGCACCAGCAGCTACCCTGTGAGTTTGGAGCCTCTCCCTCAAACCTCCTCCCCTCCAGCCACCAGAATATACCCTATGTTTTCACCATTGACTTCAATGGGCCATAGGATATAATGGGCCCGAATTGCCGCCGAATTTCGGTAGCAATTCGGCGGCAAGCGGATTCAGATCAGAGAATCTGAATCGGCCTGCAGCAGCTCGAAAGGGGTCCGAAGGGGCCATATTCAGGGGTGCATCCCTGCCTGCAAGCAACACATAAAGATAAATTTTCTATTTTCCCTATATCATCCCAGCGAATAGCTGTTAGAGATATGTATTAGTTAATACAGCAGAGTTTGCCCAGTCATAGAAGTGTAATACTGCATGGATTAAATAAATTCCCAAGAAGTATATTGCAAAAGTAAAACTTCCAGTAGATTCAGTTCACATCTGTGTTGCAGTGGAAGAAGAAGAAGAGATTGGATTTATACCCCACCCTACCCGAAGGTGTCTCAGAGTGGCTTACAAACTCCTTTCCCTTCCCCTCCCCACAACAGACACCCTGTGAGGTAGGTGGGGCTGAGAGAGCTCTGACAGAAACTGCTCTTTTTCAAGAACAGCTGTGCCAGAACTATGGCTTGCCCAAGGTCATCCAGCCAGATGCAAGTGGAGGAGCGGGGAATCAAACCCAGTTCTCCCAGATTAGAGTCCGCGCACTTAACCACTACACCAAACACCAAAGGAGAGAAAGAATAATAATCTAAGGAATACTGTTCTCTTTCACAAATGGCCGGCTAATTTGTCATCATGCATGTGAAAGTAAGAGGACATTGCTTCTTCAGGAGAAGCCTGCAGATGTGTTTAACTCCATGAAGAGCCATGAGGAGTGCTGGAGAGAACAAAGTACACACACAGAGGAGAGGTCAGAGAGAAGCTCCCAGGTTAAGAACAAAGAGGGGCGTGCTATTAAGGAGATAAAACATATACACATCTGGAGCAATGTAGTGCCCCCAATGTCCAGGCATGCTGAGTTGTATTACTCCCAACAATAATCTCCAGGCTCCGGTCACATGGGCTGGAAAATGCGGGGGGGG